GTATAAGAACAGGCTGAGCAAGTCATGGAGAAGAAGCCAGTAAGCAACATTCTTCCATGGCCTCTGCTTGAGTGAATTCCTGCCTTGGCTTTCTTCAGTGATGGACTGATCAGTGATGTAAGCAAAATAAACCTTTCCCTCCCAGGTTGCTGACCAGAACTGAAGATTCTTAATTCAAAATAGCAAAAGGCCCTGATACGTCTTTAAGGGACTCTCAAATTTTTTCTATTGTTGTGATAAAACACCATAACCAAGGCAACTTCTAGAAGGAAGGGATTATTTTGGGCTTAGATTTAGGTGGCTAGGGTCAATAGTAACAGGGCCTGCACGGTGGCAGACAGAGCAGCTGGAGCAGCAACTGAGAACTCACATCTCAAACCGCAAACAAGCAGCTAAGAGAGCGCACTGAAAATAACACGACTTCTGAAGCCTCAAAGTCTCCTCCAGCAAGGCAACACCTCCTAAACCTACCCAAACAGAACTAGAGGCCAAGTATTCAGATGCCCAAGAATACAGGGGACATTTCATTCAAACTACCACAGTGGCTCAGAGTGGTAAGGTAAAAAGTATGCAGGATAAAAGGATAGTTAGCAATCAGATACGGTGGCATACATCTTAAATCATAACACTCATGAGACCGAAGCACACCGATCTACTGTGAAGTTAAGTCTGGTCTACACATAATATACAAGGCCACCCAGAACTACATAGTGATGTCCTGTCTCAAAAACAAATATGTGGTGCTGAGGAAATGGTTCAGCAATTAAGAACACTAGCTGTTCTTCCAGAGGACCAGGGTTCCATTCCAAACACCCACATGGCAGCTCACAACCATCTGTAACTCTAGTTCAAGGAAATCTTATGCTCTCTTCGGGCCTTTGAGAGTACCAGGTATGCACATGGTGCACAGACATGAGACAAAACACGCATACATGCAAAATAATTTAATTAATTACAAGTACAAATATATGTTAAATACAACCACATAAAGAAGATGCAAGAGCAGGGCGGTGGTGGTGTACGCCTTTAATCCCAGAGGCAGAGGCAGGAGGATCTCTGTGAGTTCAAGGCCAGCCTGGTCTACAGAGAGAATTCCAGGACAGGCTCCAAAGCTACTGAAAAACCCTGTCTTGAAAAACCAAACAATCAAACAAACAAACAAAAAAAAGAAACTACAAAAAATATTCAACAGCACCAATACAAATGACTAATTTAAAAAATTGGCAAGGACAAAGAAGTTAAAGACAGGCAAGAACACATGAAAAAAAGGTTCAACATACTAATTATTAGATCAACACAAACATATCAGGTTTGTTACTATAAAATGAGTAAGTGTTGCTGCAGAGAGTGATGGTTAAGTCATCACGGAAGAGTCCAGCAAGTTCACAAGAAGTCAATACAAAATTATTACATGACACAGTACTTCCATAACAAAATGAAATCACTTGTATACCTTCAAATTTGTACAAATTTGTTCAAACTGCAACTTTTGTCCACTATCCAAAATGGACAAAACATGGAAGCAAGCCCAAATATCATAAACCTATAAATGATAAAATGTGCCCTAACCGTAAAATGGAATATCATTACGTATAAACTGAGTACCAACACAGCCAAAGACTAGATGAACCTTGCAAACATCAAGCCAAGTGGAAGAGAACAGATGTAAGAACAGTGCGCTAAGACTCCACTTACAGAAGCAAATTCTCCAAGTCAAATCAAATCAGCCACTGCCAGGGCTATGGGTAGAAAGTAGAAGTCTTTAGGAGATACTAAGTCTCCTCAGTGATGGAAATGTTCTGGACTACATAGAGGCCACCACATAGCACCATAAACACAACAGCTCCAGCAGGAAATACTAAATAAAAGACAGCAAACACAGAGGACTGTATATTGCATGACTCCATTTACACATAATATCATAAAGTGCAGGGAGGGGCTACTGACGAGCAGTGCCGAGTGTCTTCTCTGACTCGGTGCTGACGTGGCTGCACAACTCTGCGTGCACTGACACCACCGTTCACTGTCTCACATGTGTGACCACAGCTCCACTCAGGCTGAGCAAGAGCCACATCACAGGGCTAAAGAGTCTGATGAAACCATCTCACCTCTGCTTCCGTACCCACAGAGTCTGAGAACAATTCAGTCAATTCTTTACAATATAAACTTACTTATTCAAAATACTAAAGTTTGTTAGTAACAGAGCCAGGATTAGAATATAAGATACTTACTTCTACCCCAGTTCTCAGAACATTAAAAAAAAAAAAGCTAGAAAATTTTTTTTAAAAAAATCTTTTACCCAGGCTTAGTATACCTATAATCTCAACACGCTGAAGGACTGTAACTTAAAGACCAGCCTAGCTAGAATGCAAAGTAAGACCCTGCCTCAAAAAACAAAGCCAAATAAATAAATAAATAAAAACAACTTTAATATATAGATATTAAGTCCTTATAATTCTTTTAAATATTATGTTAAAACCAGCATTCTGATATCACAGCATCTCTTTTTAAGCTCCAAATCACTCATTAGTCATTTTGCAAATGCAAAAACATTGATTTTACTGGTATTTTAAAAAGCACTTGGAATAGCTAAAAATTTATTCATTTATCATTTATAGACTAATATTTCCAACAATTTAATTAAACATTACCTAATTTTTCTTTTAAAAAATACCATTACATAAAATCTTTGAAAAATCTAAGCTGGCTTTTCAGTGCTTTATTTTAACATGTTGAAAATTACGTAGTGTGTGCATGTACGTGTGTGCATGTGTGCACATGCTTGTATATATGTGTGGGTACACACTTATCACAGGTCACAGGTGAAGGTGAAGATAACTTGAAGGAGTTAGTTCTCTCCTTCTACCCCGTGTCTGGGAAATAAACCTGGGTCATCAAATTCGGCAGCAGGCTCTGATCCCGGCTGAGCCATTTGACTGACCTGTTTGTTATTAGCATTTATTTTTTTAAATTAGATTAAATATATGTGCATGCGTGTGCCCGCACGCGTGTTTGTGAAGATAATCTCTTTCCTTTTGTTGCTCTTAGGACAGGCTTTTATGTGGCATATTTACAGGGCCACTCTCCAGCCTTGTGACCCCTACTTACACCTCTGGAGTGGCTGGGATCAATCAAACACAGGGTCTCTGTTTGCCCAGACTCTATTTACACTGATTTTTTTCAAAAGTTAGACAAACCTAGAGTTGGAAGCCTATATTCCTTCCCCATTGGTTTTGGTCAGTTTTGACCACTACAACCAACAGAAGATGATAGAAGTGATCTTTGTAATTCCTAATCTGATTTAAAAAAAAAAAAAATTGAACTGATTCAATTCATCGTTTCCTATCACTTAATCTGGAGTGGTAAATAATGAAACAAAGATAACCTAAATAGTATATATGGTGTTTATTATAAAAACAAGAGTTCTTATCTATAATGAATCCTCTTTCCTAAATAGTATATATGGTGTTTTTTTATAACCATTGTAGTTCTTATCTACAATGAATCCTCTTTCCACAGCGCCCTGCCCCCCCCCCAAAAGGAATAATATAGTACGTTAAAAGTTGTATTACATCTATTTGTTTATTTTTTTGTGTGGTTTCCCGTGTGAGAGGGAGGTCAGAGGAAAACTTTCAGGAACTAAAACTGTAGAACCCAGGGACTAAAGTCAGATCATCAGGCTTGGGAGCCTTTACTCACCAAGCCATCTCGCTAGCTGATTAAAATTTTGTTTTTAAAGTAGACAAGAAAAATCTTTTTCAATCACCTACAATCATAAGCTAACACTTTAGTATGTTATAGAAGTCAAAATACTCTACTGGGAAAAATATTCCACTGACCATGTAAATGAGTACAACATCTCTGAGCTTCGGCTTCCCAAGCATGCAGTTCTGGACATGAGTTTAAACTGGTGAACAGGGGACGAACTCAGCCTGGAGAACGTTTGTCTAGCAGGCACAAGGCCCTGGGTTCTGTCCCCAGCACCACATGGAGGCAGAAAGATCAAAACATCAAGGTCATCCTACACAGGAAATGGTTTTGCTGTTAGTAGGATCCATCCTACAGCTGAGACTACCCAGGTTGTCTTGTTAATTATTACAGGTTTGACTTTTTGACTCGATAGATAATTTATAATTCTCTCATACTGACTTAATAGATTTTAGAGATTCTTTCTCTCTCTTTCCCCCTCTCCCGCACAAATATTTTTAAATAACTATTCTGTGTATATATATATACATGCAGACCAGAAGAGGGCACCAGATTGTGAATCACCCTGTGGTTGCTGGAAACTGAACTCTGGACCTCTGGAAGAGCAGCCAGTGCTCTTAACTGATGAGCCATCTCTCCAGTCTTAAGATTTTCTCTTTCAAAACAGGGACAAACTCAGGTTCTGTCTATACCTTCTGGGTGATTTAAACAAAAATGTTTGATTTGACTGGGTTGGTTTTAAAGAATGAATGAGAGAGAATGTGGGAAGTTCTGAGCAAGTGAAGTGGCGGCAGGCGTCAAATCCCAGGACCGAGGTTACAGACGCAGAGGATGGAAGTTCAAAGCCAGTTTATGTGGCACAGACTTCAATTTTAAAAAACAACCACAAAACAAAAACCTCAGCACACAAAAGACACCACTTTTAAAGCTAACTTTAGAAATTAAGACTGCTACAATGTATACTACAATGAGTTCTCTGTTGCACACGCTCAAGGCATGATAAAGCTATCGCTTACCTGGGCGTGGTGAGTCAGGAGTATCTTAAATTCAAGGCTATCCAGAATGTCCCAGAGTTCTCCCCCAAAAACAAAACTAAATATGTAATGTTGTTTCCCAACACGAATTTACAAAATAACGGCTGTCAAAGAAAAATTTATACACAATAATAACACGGAGCACAGTCATATTCTGTAACTCTAATAAATTAGTTTAAAAGCATATTACTAAATACAAATATCAATTCATATTCAACTAGATAGTATTTCAGTGGCAGAGAAGGATTGCACTGTTACCTTGATCAAGTATTTTTCCCATCTATCTGCTGTAACGGATTTGCCAATCTTCCTCATCAACTTCAAATGGAGCTCCACCAATTCTTTTGGTACTTAAAAGGAAGGAAAAACTTCTGTTAGCCAACAAAATAAAATATTTACAAACATTTAAGATTTAAAAAAAAAAAAAACGAAAAACCCACTTCCTCCAGTCCTGAATCTTTTCTTAAAACACAGAATGCTGCTGATTCTTTCATTATCCCTGAATCCTTAGAAACCTAAGCTAGAGAGAAAAAGGACTAAAAACCAGTTTTAAGACCTAACAGGGAAGTCATACTTCAAACTGTCAGTAAGAATGAAACCGACTGGTCACAGAAGCCCCACCCAGTGCTGGCTCCATGGAGTGGGGACGGACAAAGTCAATGGCTCTGAACTTTCTGCTTCATTTTCCTGTGAACAGAAAACCACTCCAAAAAGCAGGGCTGTTTATTTATTTTTACTATGTCTAGAGATGTAACGCAGGGGTAAAGCACTTTGCCTAGCACGTAGAGGCGCCAGGTTCAAGCCCCTGTAATACAGTAAGTAAAGGTCATCAAATAAAAGCACTTAACTAAACAACTAAACTTCACAGAAGCCCTCAATGTCTAACCATGTTGAAGTCCCTCACGGTATGCATTTGGATTCCAGGATTCCAGACCAAGATACAGACCGACCCAGTGAGAAAAGAACTGAAGATACATCTCAGATTGTAAGTAGTCTAACAGTGTTCAAACTTAAAAAAAACACTAAAACTAAAAAACGTTCTTCAAGTATAACTCCTATCCGACCAGCTAAACTTCTCTGTAACATCCTAAGGAGTCCTCTCCTGCTTGCCAGACCAAAAAAAAAAAAAAAAAGAAAGTACGTATCTTCCACTCTCTGAATAGGACTAACCTCTTTAAGAGGAACTCTACCTTCCTACACCTTCCTCACTGGGTTTTGACTATTATTTAAACTGCTCTATCTTCCCTTAGGTTCTCTGTTCTTACTGCAAACAGAGAGAGTTCCTCTAAATATCCCTCAGGTATGATTTGATTGTTTTTAAATTATATTAATTAGACCAAAGGGAAATACAGAACAGATATGCCTGCCAAATTTTGTATTTCAAAATTCCAAAATGCCACTATCAACTTAAAAAAATTACAGGTACCCTATCTATTTTTTTCCATAATCAAATATATACACTAAGAAAATAAAAAAGAAGAAGAAAGAAGAGAAAATGCTAGACCAAAAATGTTCTTTTGCAGCAAGACTTGTCTAAGCACTTGTTACCGGTCCTTACAGTATGCTATGAGTATCTAAGACAGAGAGAGTACCTGCAACACTCTCCAATGAATTTGATCTAACAGGTGTTGGCTACAAACGCTGCAGAGTGGGAGGGGGTGTCCTAATCTTTACAGCCCTTCGTTCTCTCAGAGACTTTACTACTAGCTTGAGACAACTCGGAAGTGTAACATTTACTCATCTAACAATCCTAAGGGTCCTTGCTGAGCCTGCACGGAGCGAGTCTTGCACGGATGGGCTGGTCACAGATAATGCAGAAGTAGAGAGTCAAGGATGGAGTGGGGACTCCATATAGAAACAAAGGTAGATGTAAACAGCTAAACCCAAAGAAAAACAGAGAATGACTACGGAACTTCAGACAGGAGCTTTACTATGACAACAGTCTCACAAAGCCAGCAAAAACCCGGTTTTATTTAAACGTTGAAGCAGGAGACTGCTCTGTATTTTAGAAATATCTTATGACTGAATTAGAAGAAATTTGATTTTAAAATAAAAAGTTTTCATTTGCTTCCTTTAAGAGGTAAAGTACAGGGCAAAAATCTGAAGTTAACTCCAGAAAGTATCTGTGAAGAGAAGAGAAGTCCCCTGAGCTCAGCCACAATGCGAGGGGCAGCAGACACAGCAGGGGACAGAACTGAGAGCCCCTCTAGGAAATAAACTCAACAAAACCCATCCAGCCTGGCAGTGCAGACAAACGAGGTATGGACTTAGAAAACCAAGAGGCCAAAAACAGTGCAGGCTCAAGGAAACCCAAAGTGGGCTCAACTCTCAGATCTTCCATTCTGTGTGGCTGGTCAGGTTCTTTGGCACTAAACCTTGACTTTCTAATCTGTATTAAAAGACTCTGGTAATCTTCTGGAGTTTTGAAATAGCAAAATACTATATAAAATTAAAACATTTTTGATGTATTTCTGTTGTGATACTGGAAACTAAGATCACCTTTAACAATTCCCAAACATTCAGAGCTTAGTTTACCCTGACTGACTACACCTCAACCTGCCATAACCCCAGTTTACTGCACTGCAGGCCTGCTGCCAGAGTCTGTCCTCCGTGTATCACACCTTAGGGTCACCCTTCGTCCCCTCTCTAGGACGCACAGAGTTGTAAGGCCGCAGTTAGCAGCTGGCACTGTCTCTACAACTCTATAAACACCGCAAACTTCAGCTTATGTTCTGACGACTATTCCTAACCTAACTCCCAATCCCCTTTCTCTCCCCCTCCTGCTTCGCTCTTTCCACTCCTACTCCCCCGCCTGGTTTTTCAAGACAGGGTTTCTCTGTGTAACAGCCCTGGCTGTGCTAGAACTCACTCTGTAGACCAGGCTGGCCTCGAACTCACAGAGATCTGCCTGCTTCTGCCTCCCGAGAGCTGGGATTAAAGACGTCGGCCACCACGCCCAACCCTTTCTCTTACAACTATACTGGAATCCTCAACAGAGATCACCTTGGTCTGACAAAGATGGTGGGTTCACTCCTAAAGGCAGGAGCAGGCAGATCTCTTCGGATTTGAGGTCAGTCTGATCAACAGAATTCCAGGACAGTCAAAGCTACACAAACAAACAAACAAACAAACCAAAAAGGGAACAAACCACTTTGGTCTGTTTGCTGCCCACTAACCCTACCCTAGCCCCTGCATGTGCATGCCTTGTGGAAGTCTTCCAGCTGAATTCCATATCCTTATGTGAGTTGTACTCATCTTTCGATGACTGGGGAATTAAGTCTCGGATTTTCCAGTGCCAGTATGTCTTTATTGAGACTGTTCTTGCTGTTCAAACTGCCTGCACCAAGTGGTGACTCGAACGCCAGTTTCTAAACCTAACTCCCCCACACCACATCACACAGAAGTCAAGGAAGATTTTTATTCTGTTGGCATTACTTTTAAAAGGTCAAAAATCAACACACAAAAGCATGGTTTTCATTCTGTTTACAAGTCTTGTTTGTTTTGATTTAGTTGTATAAAAAGTTAAGTACTGAATTTATCAAGGTGCTGGCTCTTCTACGGGGAAGCCACATGGAAGTGATCCTGCAGTGTGGAAGAGTACAGTGCTGACGTATTACATTAAAATTCACAAGGCATTGTTTAGTAACTATGGAGGGTGATTAGAATGAAAATGGCCCCCACAGGCTCACAGGGAGTGGCACTATGTGAAAGAATAGGAGGTGTGGTCTAATTGGAAGAAGTGTCTCACTGTGGGTGGGTTTTGAGGCTTCAAAAACCCACTTCAAGTCCAGAGTCTCTCTCTTCCTGCTGCCTGTGGATTTGTACTTAGAACTCTCAGCTACCTCTCCTCCAGCACCACATCAGCCTGCAAGTCTCCGTAATCCCACCAAGACAATGGACTAAACCTCCGAACTGTAAGCCAGTCTCAGTTTTCCTTTATAGAGTTGCTCTGGTCGGTACCTCTTCAATAGAACACAATAGAACACAGACTAAGAACACAGACTAAGTAAATTTATTTAAGTTTTGGTTGCAAAGAGAACTAAAATGTGATGATCTTTAAGGGCGCTGAATTTTTTAACAGATAAATATAGGGAAACACTTCACAAGGAAAACCAAAGGGCTGGGAGGTAGAAAGCTAAGCGGTACAGCCATTCTTAGCAGAACTGCCACAATGTGGTACTGCACACTCTCGAAAGCAGCTGTTTAACAGAACACCATAGAATGATGGCGTGTTCTGTACACGACATCCACCCAAACACATGAGAACACCATAGAATGATGGATGGCATGTTCTTCTGTACACGACATCCACTCAGTCGCACGTGGCTACTGAGTATCAGATAAGTGGCTAATGAAAGTGAGGAACTAAGCCATATTTTGACTATGTATCTGTGTGAGTCTGTGTTGGAATATGGACATGTGAGTGTAAGTACGTTTGAGTTACAGGCAGTTGTGAGCCAGCCGCTATGGTTACTGAAAACTGAACTCCAGCCTTCTCGAAGAGCAGCAGCAAGAGCTCTTAATCGCTGAGTTAGAACCAAGCTTTCTAGTTTTACCTATTCTCTAAACGTTTTAATTATAGTTACTTAGTGAGCATGAGAGCACACACAGGAGGGGTCATATGAAAGAGCGTATGTGAAGGTCAGAGGACCACGCCAGAGTCAGTCCTGTCCTTCCACCACGTGGCTAATGGGAATCAAACTCAGGTCACCAGGCTTGGCAGCAGGTACCTGCTGAGCCACTCTGCCAACCCCAATTCTATTAGTTCTTAATTTAGTTTAGTAGACACGAATGGACAAGCCAATTGTAAGGTGTCAATTTTGTTTGGTTGGTTAGTTGGTTTTCTGAGAAAAGGTCTGTTGGGGAATTTGATGTGTGTTGCATCTTTTCATACTGCCTTTGTTAACAGTTTGATTATGTGTTTGATTAAATAAAATTAACCTGCATGCAGGAGGATGAGTCAGCAAGTTACTGACAGGAAGTGGTGAGGAGGAACCACGTGCAGCAGGGATTCCTAAGGGGGGGATTGGAGAGAAGGATGCTGAGTAGTTGCTATACAGTGTCTTTGAGCCAGCAGAATTCCACCTCAAACCTTGAACTGTGAGTTCTTTAGATTTAGATAAAGTTTCCCTTAATAGCAAGGAACAGAATTCCTTCAGGCTGCAGCTCCTGCACAAAAGCCATTGCTTAAGGGCGGTCACTGTAGCTAATAAACTGACAACCACAAAGGTCTCTATATCATGTAGCTCTGGCTGTCCTGGATTCATTATGTAGACCAGACTGGCCTCCAATTCACAGAAATTAGCCTGCTTCTGCCTCTTCAGTCCTGGGATTAAAGATGTGTGCCACTATGCCTGGCTAAAAGTATCAATTATATTCTTAAATCACATGATCATTTTCTATAAGCTGACCAGCTCTAATTTTACTCGTCAACTACAACATTTTCCAAATAGCCTAATTCCCACGACATTGCTTATTAACTAGCCATAATTTTTATCAGATCCCTTTCTGTGAAAGATTCCAAGGCAGAAAGAAGAGGTCTGGGATGTATGGTCATAAAGACCCTGCCAGGACTGGTGAGATGGCTCAGTTAAGAGCACTGACTGCTCCTCCGGAGGACCAGGGTTCAATTCTGAGCACCCACATGGTAGCTCACAACTCTCTGTAACTTCACGTCCAGGGACTCTGACACCCTCACACAGACATACATGCAGGCAAAATCCCAATGTATAGGGGGCTGGAGAGATGGCTTAGTGGTTAAGAGCATTGCCTGCTCTTCCAAAGGTCTTGAGTTCAATTCCCAGCAACCATATGGTGGCTCACAACCATCTGTAATGAGATCTGGTGCCCTCTCTGGCCTGCAGGCACACATGTAGGCAGATATTGAATGCATAATAAATGAATATTTAAAAAAAAGTCCCAATGTATACTAAATTAAAAAATCATAATTTAAGTAACAGACTAAGCTTGCAGAAGCAGCAATATTTAGAGTTTATGATATAAAGATGCACAGAAAAACATTAGTGTGAATTGCCTTTGGGTAATTGGGTCAGCTACACAGTCTGGGATGCTGCCACTTATGCTCGATACCTTTGTCCTCTGGCGTGGTCTTTTATTTTTTTAACTTTATTTTTATTGGTTACAAGAAGCTTTATTTACTGCCCAGCTGTTGTTGGGGAGCAGCGTTCTAGAATAATGAAATTGACCCTTGAAATCGCCAGCATGTGCATCATACTTTCCTTCATAGAGCTCTTCTAGCCAATCATTTTCATTTTCTGAAAAGCAAAGAAATGGCTCAAGACTGTGAGCTATAACTTAGACCACCGAGAAAGCGCTGACGCCTGTGCTAGGCTCTACCCTTGCTCCAAAGAGCTGGCTGCTTTACACGCGCGCTCTGACGCCCGTGTTAGTCCTTGCATTCTTTTAGCTTGTTACATGACTGGCGCTCAATCTTCTTTCAAAATAATCACAATAGGGATGTGGGACTAGGGATTTAGTTCAGTTGGTAAAGAATTTGACTAGCAATACACAAGATCCTGGGTTCAATACACAGAACTGCATGAAAACTAGGTGTGGGGGCACTCATCTGTAATCCCAGCACTTGGGTGGTGGGAGGAGGTAAATTCAAAACCATCCCTCAGATCCTAGTTCAAAAAAATAAAATAAAAACAACCACTATTACAACCTAAAAGTTAATTAGTGAGTACCATAGAACTTATACATAAATAAACAACTTTTAAAATGTTCAACGAATAAATCAAACTAAACTGAACCCCTGCCTCAGGCGCAGAAGCTGTCAGCAGACACACCCCTCCCCGTTGGTACTCAGGACTCCAGGACAAGTATGTTCAGTGTCAGCCTGGGGACTGGCATTTATTTCTAACTGCGCACCTGGGAGCCAGGCCCCAGGCAGAAATTGACACAAACTCCTTAACCTGTGGCTGGGACAAATCTGAGACACACCACCAGTCCTGTAGTTCAAAGGGGACACTCAGCTGCAGGTGCCCACAGAGGAGCTCCCTGGCTCTGTCTGACTCCGTGCTCCCTACCAGGATTTCCCATCAGCCACATGGCAAGTCATAATTGTCTATAATTCCAGTTCCAAGGGATCTAATGCCATCTTCTGAGCTCGATGGTAACCAGGCTCAAACACAATACATAGACATGAACACTCATATACATAAAATTAATTGAAGAAAGCTGAGTGGGGGTGGCTCATGCCTTTAATCCCAGGACTCAGGAGGGAGAGGCAAGCAAGAGTTTGAGGGAAGCATGGCTGACAGCAAGTTCCTCCAGGATAGGACAGGTTACACAGAAAAGCCCGTCTCAAAAGAAAAAGAAAGAAAAAAGAAAAAAGGCAAAATAAATAATAATTAAAGAGAAAAACAATCAGCTGGGCGGTGGTGGTGCATGCCTTTAATCTCAGCACTCAGAGGCAGAGGCAGGCAGATTTTTATGAGTTCAAGCCGTCTACAAATCAAGTTCCAGGACAGCCAAGGCTATGCAGAGAAACCCTGACTTGAACCCCACCCTGACTCCCCCGCCCCACAAAAAAGAAAAAAAATCCTTCCTTCTGAGACCAGTTTTTTAAAGTTTTATTACACGGGGCTGCTGAGTAAATACACCTGCTGCCAACCCTGACGACCTGAGTTCAATTGCTGGGAAGGAGAAAATCAACTGTAAAAGTCTCTGACCTCCACATGCATCATGGATGCCATGCGTGTGATGTGCACATGCACACACACAGTTAGTCAACAAATAAATGTAATAAGTTATATTGCAAACTTAACCTACTCATCCTAGCTCTCCTCACTGATGGCCATAAACTGAGCTGCCCGAATTGGAAGGAAGACGATTGCTGTGCTGGTGATGTGGCTCAGCGACAGGGCATCCGTCCCAGCAACACACGCCCACAGGCACATTCTCAAAGACAATGACAACGGCCGCCGGCTCAAACTGCTACATGGTACAAGAAAACATATTCTTCTGGGTAACTTACGAAGAGCGGGCCTCTTAAAAAAGCATAAAACAAATTTGCAGGCACTTTTATTTATAAGTGGATGAATTCACACAAGAGCACCAACAATGTAAATATTTATAAATAAACACTCATTGACTAACATGCTTAAATTCCTTACACACGCTCCTCCAGCCTTGTTCTCAGGGTGTACTCTAACACACATCCACTTTCTTACCCGTCCATTTATTCTGGACTCAACAAAATCCGGCTCATAGTTAAAAGGCTGCAGTGCAACATAGCATGTTGTGGACCAATTCCGTTCCCCCCTTGCAACTTTGCTTCTTTTTTGAATTCCTTCAGATGCCTCAAGTTTCTGCAGTTTCCTTGAAAGCTAGTACTATTTTAGAATTTCCTTCCTTGTGTCCCCCAGATTATCTTCCTGTCCCATCTATAATCTAGATAGTCTAATGTCACTGTCCGAGTGGCTTCATCAACAGTGCTCCCTGTACTGGTGTAACAAAAGCTCAGAGTAAAGGATGTAGCTTTGTTTAGTAACTCATTCTCATGGTTAGGACATTTAATGCCCCTAACCCTTAGAAAATAATTCTTTTACATCACTTCCAGGATAGTGTCCTTCCTAGTAGCTCAGAATGGCCACACTTTGTACGGGCCTGTCTTCAGCACCTGGGACAGTGCTCGCCGTACACCACACCAGCAGTAGGGTTGCTTTGCTGTTTCTTTGACTTTGCAGGACGAGGTACTACTATATAAATATCAATGTCACTGGCAATAACAGTCACCATGTCTAACGTAAGATAATATTAAAACAGTTACACCCAAGGACTGTGCTCTCAATGAAAATGATCCTTTCTACCTGACAAACCCACTTCATATTCCTTTCCGAACATTGCATGCGTCTTTCCTTTCTTCTTGGGGTGTCAGGGATTGAATCCAGGGCCTTGCATGTGCATCTTTCTTTTTCTTTTTTAATTTGTATCTTTCTGTAGAAAGTTGAGTACATGTACTTGGGTTTTGCAATCCTATCTACTCAGACAACCTCCATCTTTGATTTGATTTTAGTTATAATTTAAATATCATATGGGACTGGCTGGTGTTGGAGAATGTTTAGATCAGTGGTTCTCAACTTGTGGGTCACGACCCAACTGGGGTTACGTATCAGATATTTACATTACGATTCCTAACAAAAATACAAAAATAAAGTAGTAATAAAAATAATTTTATGGTTGGGGTCTTCACAACATGAGGAACATGTCACAGCATCAGGAAGTTAAGAACCACTAGTTTAGACCAAAGGTTACTAAATTCCCTCACGCAGGGCAAAAGAAATTAACCCTTTTCATATAGTCTTTGAGCTCAAGATATTTCACTTTTTTTTTTTTTTTTTTTTTTTTTTTACTATTTTTGAGACAAGGTTTCTCTGTGTAACTGCACTGGCTGTCCTGGAACTCACTCTGTAGACCAGCCTGGCCTCGAACTCACAGAGATCCACCTGCCTCTGCTTCCCGAGTGCTGGTAATTAAAGGCATGTAATACCACCCAGTCTTTTTCACATTTAAAAACTCTTTAAAAAGAGTTGAGGGGGAGGGAGCTGGAGCTTCCCACAGGGCAGGAAACCCTGACTGCCCTGGGGGACGG